AAATTTTTTTTATAGACGACTCATATTTTTTCAGCTTTTCGTCAATTTTGTCAAGTGTTGATAGTTTTTTGAACATTTCATCAACTTTTTGCACTAAACTGTCTATTTTATTTTCATTTCGGTATTTGCTTATTTCCCCGATTATAACTTCATTTGCACCTACTATTGGGACGTCTTTAAAAGTTTTTTATCAGATAAACACATTTGTCCTTAAAAAATTGACTCGTATTCTAACAATTTATGGAGAAAAATCTGCTGGTTGAACTTTGTTTTTTATTTTGTAAATCTCGGGCGATTTTGGACCATTAGAGCCCCGATTCTAAAGTTTGGTGGGAAGATGTCTCATTAGTTATCATACAACATTTTCTAATCTTTATATTAGTTAATGTATTTTTGGAGGCTAGCTCAACCTCTCACTTGTATGACAATTGTTTATAGTTTCGATGTATTGACTAAATAAGGTGAGCAACTCAAAAGATGTTAAAGGTTAATGTGATAATAATTGGAATGCAGCAGCCAAATCTGTGTAAACATACATGCCAGGCATATACAACACAACGAACTAAAAACAAACGTTCAAATTAATCTAACAAAGACGCCCACAAAAAGATGTATTAGATAGTAAGTGTAAAATTTGTCAATGACTTCAAGTAAAGTGGTTGTCCTTGATCAAGCAGGGGAATTACTGAAACCTGTATCTTTTAAAATTGCATTGCCTTGTTTTGTTTAAAGCGAGGCTTATTTAGATCATACTTATATTTGATATAAGTTACTTTTGTAAGTATTATTTTTATAGGTGTCCGTTCAAACATTCTTAACCAATTTTAACAAATTTTCACAAACATCTGTTTTTTGTCCCTACAATACAAGCAGTATTCCACGTAAAACACTAATTGCCTTTCTGACGCACTGATATTTCATATCCACGCTCCTGGGTCAGTTATTAGTCTCTTGGGGCTATCAAAGTATAACTTTCCTTGGAACTCGTAAGGTAGACGGATATATAGTCGCCGTCATGTAAAATTGGCACCGCGATTTTTATTGAAAAATTTTTAATTGCCAGGCGCGTTCACTCAAGATTCATTTTGCAGACTTTCCCTTACAACTGAATCGTTTATTTTATTCCCTCTACAATACGTGAATGGAATAAACTTGATCCAAAAATTCGCAGTGTTTTCTAAATTTCTAAATTTAAGAAAGAATTGAAAAACGATAGTCTACTAAGTAAAATTGAAACGTTTTATTTGTATGGCCCGAGGAAATTGAATATTATCGTAACGCAATTGCGATGCTCCGCTTCATTCTTAAACAATGACCTTTTTCGAGCTAATATTATAAATGATCCTTCTTGTCATTGTGGGTCAGATATTGAGGATGTCCATCATTACTTCTTCGTTTGTCCAAAATACACTTCATGTAGAAAAACATTATTCACTAATCTTAACTAGCTTTCCGATACAAAACTATTAATTTGCGGACACTTGGAACTTTCGAACGAACAAAATATTCATATTTTCAAACATGTTCAAAATTTCATCAAAAGGTCAAACAGATTTCTTGTGCCTTCATAAAGCGTTATTGATACTGGCACGGAACATCATCATCATCATCAACATCATCATCAACACTCACGTCATCATCACAGAATTATATAACTTTTCCAACTTTTTTTTCTCTCTCTCTCTCTTCTTTTTTACCCATGATAGCTTGTATAATATTCTATGAACTGTTTGCTTTACATGCATGTCCATTTTATTATACTATAACTGTAATTTTATATTGTATTATGGAGAAGACTTCACAAGTATGATTTACTTGTGTCTAATCCATTTTGCTTTAATTCAGCAAATAAAATATGTTTAAACTAAAACTCGAGATGACGTTTTTCAATTGGTAGAATCAACAATATTTATAAAATAAAACCACTCCTGTCCTACCTTTTATTGTGTTTGCACTGTATAATCCTTGACTTCACATAATCAAAGATTATTTTCAATGGTGGAATCCGACATTGATATTACCGGAAGTGTTGCCGTGGAGTTACAACTGCAGTCTATTTTTCTCGGGCCACTCGGATCTTTTCATCATTTTTATTGTTTACATGCAAAAAGCGCGGGAAACTGTATCACATCAATGACATGGATATTACCGGAGAGTAACGAATGTTATGTAAATAAAGCATCCTCATAGAAACCATGATAGCGGATTTATAATGACAAATAATCTTGGATAATGTGAAAGTCAGGATTATACAGTTTAATCACAACAAAAGGTAGGACAGTACTGTTTTTTTTGGAAAGATTTTTGATTCCCCTAATTGAAAAACGTCATCTTCAATGAATGCGGTAGGTTGTTTAATAATGTTCAACCAAAAACATGGTGTCAATTTTACCTGACAGCAATTATAGATAGATAGTAACTTGTGATTCAATTAATTTATTTCTGATTTGTAACCCAAAACAATTTCATGATTATGATTCTTATATAATTGTAATTACTTATTCTTACAAAAATGTATAAAATAACTAAACTCAGTAATATTTTTGTAATTATTTTTAAAGTAAGCCTGTTTCTCTATACTCCTCTCTCAAATTTGATAATTTATTAATTTGTGAGAAACAATAATGTACAATTTCATAAAAACTACATTTAGTCCATGCATTTATTGAAATTTAAAATAACTCTATTGAGTAATTGAATAATTTATAAAAACAAAAATGAGCTATATAAGTAACTGAAAACAATACTATTAGTAGAACATATCGTATACAGTATTTACAATTTCTCGATAAGTAAAGGTGTAATACCATCATTGATTTCCCCCTATTAGTCTTTGTTAAGTTTGCACTTTTCAAAAAATTGTGCAGGATTTATCTTTGTTTCAAATAAGGAAATACCTGGCATGAGTGCTGTTTTATCCTGTCCTGTACTATAGAAAAAAATTCACATAACAAGTCATTGCATATAAGAAAATAACCATCACTGAAAGTTAACCAATCAAATTTTCCCCCTTATTTAAGCTGTGTACAAGCTTTAGTAAACATGTTACCTCAAGTTTCCAAAATATTCTATAGGAACCCCAAATAAAAAAATAATGGTGCTTTGAAATACCCAAGATATATGTTTATGACCCAGAAATGTTTTACTGCAATAAAATGTAGGATTAATTACCCACAACTGTCAAATTCAAGGGAATTTTTTTTCGACCTATTTTCGTATGCAACCGGATGTGACTTAATATAATTTGGTGGTATTACACCTAAACATTAAGTAAATAGGTATACAAGGGGAAACAAATTGGAAAAAACGCCTTAAAAAAATTTAACCTATAAATTGCACATCATGACCACCTGCAATAGTAATACACAACGTGAAAAAGTGAAAACCCCGATGGCGGGATGTATAAATAACGAGTCATGTCAAAAGTCATACAACCAACAGAAACATGATAGCGTGAAGACAAATAAAATGCAACTTAAGAAAAAATAAAAGAATTCACAACATCAGCATAGATGATCTATAACTCAAGACCATCTTGTATTATTTGTATATCAGGTCTATATTCTTGAGAAAGTAACAAGAAAATTTTTGATAAAGATTAAACCCTTGCTCATTATTTATTTGCTACGACACCGATTAAACGGTTTTTTATACTGAGTAGTAGCCCCAAGTTCTTCAATATTCAATGTGTTGCGAAATGTAAACCCCATATGCTTATGTAGGGGAAATTTATAGTTTCAAAATTTAAATCGTCTCGTTTATCATATATTCTGGTACTGAGATAACCGCTTATGTCAAATTAGAGGTATAAGTCTAATGATAATGTCTCTTTTTCCTTTCCTTTCTAGATCTTGAGGATATAATAATGGAACCTAATCGGAAACGTTTGGATTGGTAATTGTAAAAACATCATCAATTTATTTGAATGTGAAATAAATTATCTAGCTTCTTTGATCTTCTTGTTTTTGAAAAGTGTCTGAAGGAACTCCGACTAATATAAAAAGAATAAGAGGTCGACAAGGAGAGACACACGGTTAGTTCACATAGGAATACCTCTCTAAGTTCAACAAATATGTTGTCAATACGAATCTGTTTTATATTGATCACTTGTTCCTATGGTTAGCACGTTTTAACTTTAAGTTCACTCTTAGCAAAAAAAGCGGTATGGTATTAAATTTATGGCGTAACTAGTATGCTACCATTTTTATATTGAAAAGCATTATGGATTATTTCCTTTATCCGCTTTTCATGTTCACTTCGGGAATGGTTGAATACAGGTTTGAAAAACTAAAATTTTGATAGAACTAATTTCAAAGAAAGATCAAGATTAAAAATTATCTAGAAGTTCTTCTGAATTTCTTTTTAATCCACACATGGTTAACACCACTACGCTACACGAGTTGATAGTTTAACAGCATTTCTGAAAACCCTTTTTCGCTGAATGCAGAATGTTGTCTATCTAGTAGACAAATACATTGTAGATCATGCAGATTAGCCAACAATTTACCATTGTTTGTACGGAGTCTTGGGACGCTTAGGTAACTAATACAAACAAGGTAAGTCCATAGATTGTTTGTTCAATGTGATGTTCATTGAAGGACTAAAGATTCGCCAGAATATCATCCTTGTTAAATGATAAGTTTTGTATTTAGGTTTTAAATTATTCAGAAAATAGAAAATTAAATAATAGGACACCATGTATTATTCATGTATCCGCATGTACACTTTCATAAACCTGACACTATATATTCACATTATGCTTTACATTACATAAGATGTAGATCTAGAGCATAGTATTACTAACTTGCAACGCAACGATAATTTTCATCGACGTAAGAATTTGCATTTAAATGAATAAAGACAGATATTTAAATGATTTTAATACACAGACTATTGAGCATTTAAAAGAATAATGACAGATATTTAAATGATTTTAATACACAGACTATTGAAACCAACTTTTCAGTGAAAGTATGAATATTAATTGTAAACAACCTTTCAGCAGAATCAACCAAAACAAACAATTCAGCTGCGGTGAGTAAATTTTTGTTTGTTTGGTTTACTTATCGTTTAGCTGAATGCTGTATTTTTTATATCTATGCTAGTGGAAAATTAACCCTTTGAAGTAAAAATCTAATCAGTTGATTTGTTTGTGCTGGAATAAGTTTATAGTTGCATTTTGACTGGTATTGACATTCGTATAAACTAATACCCGTCAACCTTTTGACAATGGAGTTTGCTTATCCTTTGTATCGTCTTACCTTCTTATTTTTTGTTGGCCCGGAAGGGGGGGATGTTACTTAATCTTTAATTCAAAGTTACTACGAGAAATTTGATCTGTACATGAATACATAATATACATTCGTTCTGTTCTAAGAGAAATGTGTTTGCAAACAGTGTATATTTTCATAATGGTCTATTATTGAAACGTATAAAAACAAAATAACAACAATATAATCTTAATTTTTATCAGATACCAATTTTCGTACATAGGAAAAATTGCAACATATGTTTTCATATGTTTAACATATGTTTTCATATGTTTAACATATGTTTTTCATATGATTGAAAACATATGTAAACATATGTTTAGGCCCGACATGAAAACATATGTTTTCGAACATATGAAAAACATATGGAAAACATATGAAAAACATATGTTTTTAAAATCATATGAAAAACATATGTTTTTCATACATGTAAACATATGGAAAACATATGTTTTTCATATGTTTTTTACAAACATATGTTTTTCATATGTTTTCATACCTGGCCTAAACATATGTTTTCATATGTTTGTCCTAAACATATGTTTTCACATGTTTGGCCCAAACATATGTTTTCATATGATTTTATCTTGGTCCTAAATATATATTTTTTATATGTTTTTAATTGTTCAAATGCATTTATTTTCTCATAGATTCTAAACATGGTTTGTATATATATGTATTTTTTTTTTGCAGTAGGTTTTTTAAAGTTATGTTTTGATGTTTTAATGTTTTTCTTCGTTATTTTTTTTTTCTGTCAGGAACTCATTTTGAGTGTAAATACTTCAGTGTGATGAGTTGTTGCTTTAAAAAGTAAATAACCCAAAATACCAAACTCCACAGAAAATACATGGCAAAATCAAAAGCTCAAACAAATAAAAAACAACTGTATACAGGCATTCTTTTATGCAGAAAAGTAACAGTGCTCCATAATTTTTATATCAAGTAGAATTCTTTTTTTATTAACCTGTTAACGTTGTCTCTTCTATTTTCATATTTTTGTCTCTTTGACATTCCACATTTCTATTGTCTAGTATATTCTATTTTGGTTTGTTTGTCTCTTCGACATCCACCATTTCTATTGTCTATATTCTATTTTCATATGTTTCTCTCTTTGACATGCCCCATTTCTATTGTCTATATTCTATTTTCATATGTTTGTCTCTTTGGCATACCCCATTTCTTTTGTCTGTATTCTATTTTTAATATTTTTGTCTCTTTGTCATACCCAAATTCTATTGTCTACGTTCTATTTTCATATGTTTGTCTCTTTGATATACCCTATTTCTATTGTCTATATTCTATTTTCATGTTAGTCTCTTTGACATACCCCAATTTTATTGTCTATATTCTATTTTCATATGTGTGTCTCTTTGACATACTCCATTTCTACTGTCTATATTCTATTTTCATATGTGTGTCTCTTTGACATACTCTATTTCTATTTCCCTATGATGTATGTGATATTTCTATTGCTATATCACCATACACAGATATTTAATTGTCTCAACTGTTGGCTATTACTGGTGCATGTGTATGCAGCCGCTTTTTTGGAAATATCCTGTATGATTAAGAAAGACAACTAAATTGACTTTGAGTTCAATATTGTATTAATCTAAAATTAATGTTCTTTGGTTCTGTTTCTTTACTTTTCAGTTCCTGCAAGTAAAAATAAAAGAACAGAGTTTCAATGTCCACCTAGTCGTACATTTTTTATCTATCAAGGGGCAATATTAAAAAAAAAAAACATGTTTTTTTGTTCTCAAAAATATTTATAAATAAAAAATGTGCTTGGGGGAAAAAAAGTTCTTTTTCTTGTATACTAAATATTTCAAACCGACCTTCAAGGGCATTACTATAATAGTATACTACATGTATAAGTTTAATAAAAAAAAATGAGAGCATTTACGAGGCCATTTTCCATAAATTTATTATTTCCAAGGGGCATAACTCTTTTGAAAAAAGTTGATCGGCCAAATTTATAAAACTTGACTAGGATTATGCTGATATTAACCTATAGAATAAGTTTTAAAAAATCTGGCAAGAATTGTACCTGCAAGACAAATATAAACACCTTACAATCATTCCATAAACATAAAAGTAGTTCACCTATACTTTTAGTATCTAAAAAAAAAGACCAAATCAAGAGAAATTTAATACTGACCAATGAACCATGAAAATAAGGTTACGGTCAGATGAAGCCTGCAAGATAAATGTAAAGTTTAACCTAAACACCTTACAATTTCAATCTACAATCATTCCAGAAACCAAATATAGTTCACCTTTACCTTATAGTATCTGGAAAACAGACTAAGCAAGAAAAAAATATCCAATGAACCATGAAGATGAGGTCAAGTTCGGGTGATTACTGTCAGACCCACTGGTGGCCTTTGGCTGTTTTCTGCTCTTTGGTCGGGTTGTTGTCTCTTTGACACATTCCCCATTTCCATTCTCAATTTTACATCAGTACACCTTACAAACATTCCATACACCAAATATAATTGACTGAATGCTTATAGTATCCAAAAATTAGACCAAAACATAAAGACTTATTACTGAACCATTAAAATGAGGTCAAGGCCAGATTACAACTACCAGTTGGACATCTACACCTTACAATAATTCCATACACCAAATATAATTGACTGAATGCTTATAGTATCCAAAAATTAGACCAAAACATAAAAACTTATTACTGAACCATTAAAATGAGGTCAAGGCCAGATTACAACTACCAGTTGGACATCTACACCTTACAATAATTCCATACACCAAATATAGTAGACTTATTGCTTATAATACCTGAGATATTGAATTGACCACGAAAACTTTCTGACAGAGTAGACAGACACTAGGACCTTGCAAGATACCCACACACTAAGTAAATATAAATATCCTATTACCATGAATACTATAAATAATATTAATAAGAGAGAAATTATGAGAGAAATTAACATTACAAAAAACCTTTATTTTTTCAAGTAATCACTGAACCATGAAAATGAGTTCAAGGACAATGGACAGTTGACTGACAGAAACTTCATAACATACATATGCATCTATAGACATTGTACATAGTATGAAGCATCCGTGTCTTCCACCATCCCTATGTCGAGCTTTCTGCAGCGGAAGTCGCAAGCTCATCAAAAAAACTAAGCCCATTTATTAGTTCAAATACGGAAAAATGAAAAAGAATATTTTCAAAATTTTGCCTTGGATACTGTAGTTTGGTCATTAAGAAGCTTCGAATATTCTGTCTCAATTTCACAAAATCCCATGTCTGTTTGACAAAGTTATCGATGTTCAAAAAACATTTAACCACAGACTGAACCTAAATTTTAGGACAGCGACGCCACCTCTGGCAGAATCTGAGCCTGTGTCGCTCACCTTGGTCCAAGTGCATATTAAACAAAGGACACAGATGGACAAAATTGTGTTTTGATGATGGTGAAGTGTTTGTAGATCTTACTTTACTGAACATTCTTGCTGCTTACAATTATCTCTATCTATAATGAACTTGGTCCGGTAGTTACAGTGGGAAATATTTTGTAAAAATTTACAAAAATTTACAAAATTTATGAAAATTGTATAAAATTGACTATAAAGGGCAATAACTCCTTAAGGGGTCAATTGACAATTTTGGTCATGTTGACTTATTTGTAGATCTTACTTTGCTGTACATTATTGCTGTTTATAGTTTATCTCTATCTATAATAATATTCAAGATAATAACCAAAAGCTGCAAAATTTTCTTAAAATTACCAATTCAGGGGCAGCAACCCAACAACGTGTTGCTTGATTGGTCTGAAAATTTCAGGGCAGGTAGATCTTGACCTAATGAACAATTTTATCCTGTCAGATTTGCTCTAAAGGCTTCGGTTTCAGAGATATGAGCCAAAAACTGCATTTTACCCTATGTACTATTTTTTAGCCATGTCGGCCATCTTGGTTCACGGGCGGGGTCATCGGACACATTTTTTAAACTAGATACCCTAATGATGATTGTGGACAAGTTTGGTTAAATTTGTCTTAGCAGTTTCAGAGGAGAAGATTTTTGTAAAAGATTGCAAAAATTTACGAAAAATGGTTAAAAATTGACTATAAAGGGCAATAATTCCTTAAGGGGTCAACTGGCCATTTTGGTCATGTTGACTTATTTGTAGATCTTACTTTGCTGAACATTATTGCTGTTTACAGTTTATCTCTATCTATAATAATATTAAAGGTAATAACCAAAAACGGCAAGGTTTCCTTAAAATAACCAATTCAGGGGCAGCAACCCAACAACGGACACATTTTTTAAACTAGATACCCCAATGATGATTGTGGCCAAGTTTGGTTTAATTTGGTCAAGTAGTTTCAGAGGAGAAGATTTTTGTAAAAGTTTACGGACGACGGACGACAGACGAACGACGGACGCCAAGTGATGAGAAAAGCTCACCTGGCCCAATGGGCCAGGTGAGCTAATAATATATGTATAGCCTAAGCCCGTCTTAGTTTAGTATGAACTTTTTCTAATATAAAATCATCTATTCTGCTGTCTACAGTTTAAAAAAAAACAACATTTAGGCATTAACTCTGATGTCTATTAAATCTTGATTTCCTGTTACATAGGCAAAATTGTTTAAATATACAATTTAAAGGCATGTAGTGGAATCTCAATAAATACTTATGATTGCAATGTAAGTTTAATCGTTGTTGTAGCTATGAAATCTATACAATAACGTCATTCACTACAGCATTAGGGTTACAACGTTACCATAGTTC